GTTTTTTATGAGTCTCCGATATTTCGGCACTGTTGCAAGCGCCATGATCACGGATTAACTGAAGTAATTGCGGGTAGGCTGTTATGATGTTAAATATCGGAGACTCATAAAAAACAAGGTACATGGTAACAATCCCGTTAATATCTATAATATAAATTTATTGTACTTGTTTTAATGTTAATACTTATAGGCACGGACCGCAGTCATGTACGTTTTGTCGTTCTTGCTGGACTGCGATAGGTTGTGGGACACCTCCACCATGTATACGTTACCGCTGTTGCTCCCGCACGCCGACAGCGAACCCTGCAATCAACAATAACTAACTCATGAATGACTCAAGAGAAACTATTTTCCGCGTGAAGCCTTATCCAGCCTCTGGAACACAAATTGCTCAAAGGCACGACCCGACATAACCTTTCCAGCACCCATCTGTAGTGTAGGCTTGTTGAAAATATATCGATGTATCGATATATCGATATTTTTTGTTCGATATATCGATATTTTTTGCCGATATTTTTTGATTCGATATATCGATACATCGATACAAAATAACCAATATCGAAATTCGTATCAAAAACGATATTTTTTTAATTATTAGCGGCATATCACGATCTAACTAAATTCGTATCTGGAAAAATCGTAACTGGATCTCAGATTAATGATATTCAACATATCTATGATCTGTGCTGTATTTAGTATTGTCTATGTCATCATTCGAAAATAGGGTCAATTTTTAGGGAGATAATTTTCGTTCCATTATTATTCCGCGTGTCATATTTCGTGAGCTACGATATTTTTGGGAAAATTGGTCCGATATATCGATGTTTTTTTCGCGATATATCGAAGCCGATATTGATATTTTTTAAAATATCGATATATCGATATTTTTTTCAACTTTCGACATCCCTACTGTAGTGTACCATACATGCAGTGAGAAAAAGGTTAGTATCGCCTACCCTTTTTGTTGGACAGTGTTACACTTGTACATTTTTGCTTTCCTTATCTGAATAAGCTGTATATGCATACCACTATGTATAATGCGATTCAAATAAGAATAGGAAAGCCAATGACCTCCATCTGTCAAATGACGCTTGAAAAGTACGGTTTGCAAAAAATCTTGGAACTCTTTTTTAGCACTCAGCTAATTCTAGAATAAAAAAAACAAACATTTGTAAACAAACATGACGACGATGACAACTCCGGTAGTCATGCAGAGCTGAGCGGAATTGAAGAGCTAGATTCCGATTAATATTTTTACGCACAGTCATAAATGTTATTAAAAATCGGTGTTCTTTTTTCTCAATCTTAGTAAATAAATTTTATTAATAAAATCTGATGTTTTTACTCACTTAATCTTAGTAAATAAGTTTGATTTAAAAAAAACCTGATGTTTTTTCTCACTTAATCTTAGCTAATAGGTTTTATCGAAGAAAAACTTTTATTGCTCACTCTACCTATTTTGTTTCAATTGACAGCTTTGACATCACAAAATGGCGCCCAGTCGATCCTATTCTCGGTTGAATCGCATTATACATCTCATAGCATAGAAAGTGAAGTGTTAGTAAATACATATATCTCTTATCTATTAGACAAGTCCGTCCGTCTGCGGTGCTGTTTCAGCGGCCAAACCGTAAGAGATAGATAAAGAGAATATTTAAGTTATAAGTTAAGAATAGTCTGATAAGACTACAAACCGGATTTGAGTAACGTAGCACTTCCGGTTTTCGAGAAATCACGAATTTCAAACGAAACCACACAAAATCTCCGAAGTTCTCAATTAAAGGTTTTGGTGAACATTTGGTTCACTGGTTTGCTAGTAGTTTAATAATGTATGTAGATATAACTCGGTTCCTGCCTGGTCGTGGTTGGCGAGGCGCAGCAGCGGGTCGTCGCACAGCTGCATGGTGAGGGCGGGCGCGTGCTGCCGCCGCAGGAGGTCCCACGCTGACAACTGCCCGTTCCGCTGCACCACCAACATCAGGGAAACCCTACACACGAACGAGACGACCAACTCAAACTTTTTGGAGTTTACTCCTTAAGAATCGATTTGCATATATAAGGGGCCCGGTATGAGAAAAATGTGAGGAGTAAAGTCTATCGACGAATGACCTCGTTACGTTTTTGGTGCGCATCCTATGTCGCGCAACTTTGGCAAACAAAGATGACGGATTGACATTAATAAAATTATTAAAATCTGAACTGAATTTAGATATTGTTTCTGATAGAACAATGGGGACAACGAGGAGTAAACTCTCCAGTCGTACGTCGGAGCTGACACACACAATTTTATTTATGTCTGGGTAAACCCTTATGCATCCTGACTTCTCATTTCCTGTATCCCTGAAGTTCGATGAAATGAACGGTAGTACGTACAGTAAAAACCAAACAATACTCCTGCAACGGTCACCCGACCCGCATTGCAGGACCGTGGTACCCGCAATGTGTGCCGGCAGTCCGGGCGATGTTGCGGCACCTAGTATACTAGCCGCGCAAATACCAAGTTATTTAAGTTCATACTACAGAAGTTGAGCAACCCACCAGAAAGTACGATAGCTTTTGCAACCTTAAGGGTCGAATCGCTATAAGTTCGCTTTATCTATAGTGCCTACTAAATAATTTATAGCGAAATTGAAAATACGTATTTTCTCCCTACACGTAGGTAATCGTACTTTGCCCTAAAAAGCAACATATGCAACGGTACCTCGTAGGGCTCCAAGCGGCATTAGTGATCTTGTGTCGTAGTGGCGGCGACCACACGATGGCTGACTCGCGGCAGTCCTCACTCCACACGCGCACGGTCCAGTCACCTACCGTCAAGAAGTTCTTCAAGAACCCCGGGTTACGCTGTAGAGACCAGACCGGCCCCAAATGTGCCTCGATCTAAACACAAGATTAATATAATACCAGAAAAACTGTACGGCTACATCAATCAGTTATAATAAGACATTAAACATACCATTCCAGTAAGTTTATCCACCTGAGATTTGCCCTTGCGATTACCGGAGATTACTAAACCGTTTTCCGTTCCTACCATAAATCTTGTCGGGATGGTCGATTCATATTCCAGCACACTCGTGCCGAACGCTGTCGCCATATTAGGATTGTCATTCGAAGACTTGACAACATCAATTATCATGTTATCAATGTAATCGTCCAGTTTGCGACAGTCCCACCATTTGCACTCGCCGTCCGGGCCGGCGGAGAAGAATTCTTGGCCGGATTTAGAGCTGATGAAGATAACGTTCCGGACGAGGTCGCGGTGCGCGACGTGCGGCGGACACAGCGCCACGGCGGCGCCGCCCGCGCGGCGGTCCCACAGCGACACCTGCCCGCTGCTGAGCCCGCCCGCCAGGACGTTGAGGTCGCGCGGGTTGAAGCGGAGGTCTAACGTTGGATGAGGTGGCGTCAGCGTGACGACGGGGCTATTCGCGTTTTCCAAATCCCATATATAGCAATCTTGAGAAGAGCGTGAGTTTCGGTAGTAATCCATGTCTACATAAGTCACGGCGAAATTGTGTCCGCCGTCAGGTTGCCACGCGATGGAACTCACGGGTCGACCACCCCCCATTTTCAAATGTGGATCACGGTACACGTTCACGGTGCGCAAACTGTTCCGCTCTAGGGCTGGCATGCATTCCATTTCTGTATAATAGGTTTCATACATATCGATAGCGTTATTTTGCAAAATGTAGTGATCCATAGCCTGGAAGCAAAAAAAGATTTGATTATCCAATATTCTATCAATTACGTCATCTTTAAGTCTGTGATTATAGTTACTCACATTGGCCTGTGCCATAACGCAGTGTATGTAGCCGTCGTCTTTTTCTACCTTGCGCCGGTAGCGCTGCGTCGCTTCAGGGTCAGTGACTATGACGTCTCGGGGCCACCCGCCCTCAGCATGGTTTGCGCCTGTGCTGGCATACTCCGCCCTAAATATATGGAGAGGAACCACTGTTAAAAGTCTCTTCATACATCATCAGCCTATTCATTTCCCCAATGCTGGGTCACAGGCCGTCCCTATTGATGGAACAGCTCTACATGCACAATCTGCCTCACGAAAACTCGGGAGTTCTGGACAAGATGTGGCGTTTTTTCCTGCGTAACTGTGCTTGTTGTACAAGGCGGAAGTGCGGTCTCTCACCTCTGGGATGACGTCGCCAAGGACTTATTCGATGCTTTGGATAGCTTTACTTATTGTTGGCTTTACAGCGCCGCGCGACCCGCATTATTGGCGATGAGGTGACTAAATATCTCGAGCTTCTGGAGACACTATGATGTCGAGTAATTAAGCGCATTGCATCTCTATGCAATCTGAATGTAATATGTAAGCTGGTGTGGCAGGTAAAAATGCCGTATCAGCGTCCACTGCCATTTAACATGAAGTGGGGTGGAATCATTTGTCGGACCGTAAGTTATATTTAAAAAAACTTACTTTTGAGCGTTGAAAATTGGGGACGGCTACCTGAATGTATTAGCTTCGTGAATGCGGAATTGGGCGGTGTTCTGCGTGGGCTGGTGGATGGGGTTGCGCAGAATGTACAGCTTGTGCTCGCTCGTGTTGACGGGGATGCTGTCGCACATCTCGGGGCCCTGTTCGCAGAACATCAGCTGCCGCCCGAAGGTGCGCCGCACCTTCGTGTATTGGTACGATATATCCATTATTGTTGTTAGTATTATAATATTTTATTCTATACCGATCAATAACAAAACGTTTGTATAATTCAATTAAAAATATTAAGTAAAATCTTTGTAATCAATATTGATTTCAAAATGACATTATGAATGATTTTGTTTATGACAGAAATCATCATGAGCACAAAGAATACCCGCCACACATGCTAACCCATAGTCCCTATCCGACTCTACCCGCAGTAATCCGAAATCTATGAAGAAAAGTCTATGAAGCATGGACGAAAGGTTTCGATCATCCTTTGAATATGATCTAGTCATTAATTTCTCTATGATGGTACAGTCTGTTTCTCGATGGTTTTTTCTGTTTACATATTTGACAACTTCAAATCACTAGATATTTCCAATGGTCCAAATGTTTGAAAATTAAAATTTACCCTGACAAATCAGTTTTATAATCTTTAATCTATGTTCACCAAAAGTGCAAGCGCCATTTTGAATCAGAATGGTCGTAGTCTTAGCACAACAAGTTTAGTAAAGAATGTCTACTGCATCATAGCGTGGTCGAGCTCTAGGGGTGGGTACTGTAATAGTGGAATGCCGCATGACGCATGGCTATCGATCAGTTCCCGATGTTCCGGATGGCCACGTTGTTGGCGCGACAGCTCAGTTCGCCCATCGCCTCCAGGATCAAGGTTATTCTTTACCACATCAATAAGTTAAAGTAATATCTAGGTAGTTGATTTATTTATTTAATATATTTTCACGCACACCACTTATTAAATAAACACTGTACGGGTTCAAGATGCGTTTTTTAATACTTTTATACATACTACGGTCTCCTACAGGATATTCTTAGAGTTTTTTAAGTAAGTTAACTGCTCTTGTCAATATATGGATAAACAATAACTTTAATAGGTAGTTTATTATATATATATATATATATCTCTTAATATATATAAATCTCGTGTCACAATGTTTGTCCTCAATGGACTCCTAAACCACTGAACCGATTATAATAAAATTCGCACACCATGTGCAGTTCGATCCAACTTGAGAGATAGGATAGTTTAAATCTCAAATTATAGTCGCAATTTTAATTTATTGCAAATTATTACTTTTGGGCGGTACGAAGTTCGCCGAGTCAGCTAGTATATATATATATTTAAGCATGTAACTGCTTGATGTTTGATTCTAAAGAAAATTTCGCGTCTGCGTGGAATATTTTCTAGTAATATTTTCTTTAGGTATTTTATTTCCAATAAGGATTCTCTATTTTTATGACACCACGTCACCATTATCAGACCAGCATTTGCATCATCCCCACCTTTCGAGTCGAGCTTAAGTCCAATTTTGTAACAATGGCAGTTCCATAACCAAAGTGTAATCACGAATCAGCAGCACTGAAGTACGAGTGTGTGCTAAGTAGCTTAGTTTAAATGGTGTGATTATGACCCGTACTTTAAGCACTGTACATGTCGCCGTACTTTAAGCACTGTACATGTCGCCGTACTTTAAGCACTGTACATGTCGCCGCCACACATAGCCCTTTAGGCTATGTATGGCGGCGACATCTATACGCTCCACATATTTGTAACGAACGAAGTAAGCGCGGCCGATATGGCTCGTTGGTAGTGGGTTTAGAAGTAAAAGATTAGCTTAGTACCAAATAATCTTATATTGTGCCCAAATTCCACGTCTCCTCCGCCGGGCAGGCTGCAAAGATGGCTGCTAGAAATGCCTATGTTAACCTGCATCAATGATGGTGCTCGATGGCGCAAGTGGTTAGCGCGTTCGCCTGCGATCGTTGAACTTAAGCAACTTTCGCAGTGGTCGGTCATTGGATGGGTGACCAAAAATTACTATCTCGAGCTTCTCCGTGCTTCGGAAGGCACGTGAAGTCGTTGGTCCCGGCTGCATCTGCAGTCGTTAGCACCCACCAATCCGCACTGGGCCCCGCGTGGGGGGTTCATAGCCCAATCTCCCTATTCATTCCATTTGACGACCTCCGTGGTCCAGTGGTTTATACGCCGGGTTTCATGGTGTCGCCTACTCGAGAGGTCCCGGGTTCAAATCCCGGTGGGGCCAGATGTTTGTGTGATGAATACGAGCATTTGTACTCCAGTCATGGATGTTTAATATGTATTTCTATATAAATATACTTATATACGTAGATTATATGTATTCTATCCGTTACCCTAGTATCCCATAACACAAGCCTTACAGTGCTTACTTTGGGGCTAGGCTAATTGGTGTGAGTGTTCGAAATATTTAATATTTATTTATAGGGTAGGCCTGTGCCCCAGCAGTGGGGACATTAATAGGCTGATGATGATGATGATGATGAATGATGGTGTGCAGGCGTACGCTATGACGCACCCGCGCATGCGTACTGCGGTGGTGTGTCGCGCGGGGCGCATGTTCCGAGGCGCGGAGCTTCGCTTCAAGTTGTGGGCGATGCGCCTGCCGCCGCCGCCGCGCGCCGCGCCGCTCTCAGACAACGACGCCGTGCAGGTCGGCTCCGATATTATCGGTACCCATATTACTAACAAATTTGTATTTAAGGGATTGGTTCGTGAGCATTATCTCTTATCTATTAGACAAGTCCGTCCGTCTGTCTGTGGTGCTGTTTCAGCGGCCAAACCGTAAGAGATAGATGAAGAGAATGTTTAAGTTATAAGTTAAGAATAGTCTGATAAGACTACAAACCGGATTTCAGTAACGTAGCACTTCCGGTTTTCGAGAAATCACGAATTTCAAACGAAACCACACAAAATCTCCGAAGTTCTCAATTAATTAAATACATTTTTTTTTAAATCAGGTTTTGGTGAACATTTGGTTCACAGGTTTGCTAGTCTTAATATAATTAATCTGCGTTCTCATATTTGACTGGCATAATTATGTGTATGTATGTATTGTAGATATAGCATATATATTTACATGTATGTATTGTATATATATTTTAATATTTGTGTATTTTATTGATATACATATTACCTACCTGGTTTATTTAGCATATGTCCATATTGCACTCCCGTATTTTTATTTCTCACGCTTTTACTGGTCGACTGATAGAGAATGCCTTATGGCATTATGTCCGCCAATTGCTGTTTGTTTTGCAATAAAGTATAAATAAATAAATAAAATAAATATATTACTCTCACTTTCTCTTCATCACATACTAGCGTGGATTAACGTCCATCAAGCCTTTGCTATTTAAATTTATTAGTTTGACACTAAATAATACATTCTAAAACAGTAAATGGTAACGTACCTGTTCGAAAATTTGCAAACTCTATAATGAGGGCTACCGTTTTCTGTCTCACCAGATGGCGCCACTGTTGAGTGCGGTCCTAAATTGTAACTTTTAAAGTTTATTAATACGCACATGAAATCAAAGGTTACATTTAGATCGTATTTTAACACAAAAGAACCATATCCTAAACATAATAGGCCATGCCACAGTGACGCCCAGTTCCGTTTTATTCGGAAAAAATGGGAACATAATCATTTTTCTAAGCTCAAATTTTTAATAACTGACATTCATTGCCACATAACTCATATTTGCCATAATTAAGCCGAATTGTTACCAATTATTCACAACATTATTTTACCTATAATGCGAAGAGATGGCGCTGCCTTGCAGCTTAAGAATGGCTAGAAGAATTTCGACGCGGTCCGTGAGGGCTGCGGTAGCATAATTGGTCAGTGCATTCGCCCGGATTGCGAAGGGTGCGGGTTCGAGTCCCGTCTGCTGCCTGGTCCGCGTGAAATTTTTCAAGTTATATTTTCTTTATAACATTATTTTAATTAGAAATAAACCCGCGTAGTCAACCAACAAGCAATAACATTTGACATTTCGGAGACCTCACGCTACACTAGCGCTTCTAGCGGCGGATTCATACGCGATAGCCCTCATTACGTTAATTTGTTCCCTCATTAAGCCCGTTCTATAGTTAAGAGCCCTTTTACAAAATTGTGCCGCTCTAGTTTAGGTAAATATGACCGCGAGCGTGTCCGAGTCGCACGAGCGAGACATCGAAGCGGCGAAGTTCAGTATAGCGCGCTTTACCAAATTGATACTTTAATAAATGATTATACAATAAATGCAAATATAAAAGAAAGTTAATTTGAAGTGCTAAGATGGATCCCTACTGTAGCAACGAACGATTCTAGATAGGAATCCTGAGTGGAGCAAAGGATACAAGGATTAAGTTTTTTTACTATTGTGAGAAAATAAATAATATATTTATAGTACCCATTGGTTGCGTTTTGGAAATGACAATAAAGATTAATTATGATTATTACTAATTATTGTAACTTTATATGTTTGATTTGCATAACTTCTGTTTGTTCAAATTTTTTTATTCACTCAGTAATTAAATGAAAAGTTTGTTCACTGTTATCGCTGAATGAAATCCCTTTTTCGAGTGGCAATGAGAAATAATATTTTATTTACTTGTATTTTTAGTATTGACTTTTTTAATGATGATTGATGTTTGGTAATAATCAAATATCTCAGTAAAACTGTACTAAGTGTAGTTTTTGTCTTTGCCTTCGTAGTTCATTTAATAAAAAAGTTTTCGCACTCTGTATTTTCAATATATCTGTAAGAGTATTTGATAAAAAAATAAAAAGCATGTTTTTTTGTATTCGTGTAATTTCCATTCATTAAAACAAAACCCATCAAAAGCATTTAACTTTCATAGGAACTCATCTCTTACACACCTAACTCATGAAATTTTTGCTGCGAGTTCTCGTATGGTAATTTCAGGATAAAGAATATGAAAACGGAGCTGGGAAAGTTCACACCTCTTCCATCACTAGCTGCTGTAAAGCACATTCAATAAAATCTGCTATTCTCTATACAATTAATTACTCATCAGTGTTATCAAAGATTATCATCACTGATGCTATCATAACCGGAAGCAGTCTGGTAGTATAACGTATCACGTACAATGTTTGTCTTTTTTTCAAACTGATGATTGATGTTTTGTTTTTCGTAAATTACAATGAAGGTTATATTATAGTTATCTATAATAATGTATTATTCTTTGTGGATTATTACGGTGACAAAGGGCCACAATACATTTAATTTTAATAAAAGTATGACGATAATAAACAATACTTATAATAACAACATCTGAAATTTCCTCGCTCATTGTCAATTCTATAAGTTCTTATTTCAGCTGAGGTGATATTGATATGTTGACATTTGACGGTCCAACACCCAGCCTGGTGTTTCCAAGTGCAAAATGTCCTGGTATCATTACACGTCCTCCATCAACCATATACTCCTCCTGAAAACAGATTATCTAATTGACTACAATACTGCTTTTATCGACTATCTACGCATATAAACAGATATAGGCAACACTGGAAATACATTTCCAATCCAGACACAGATATGGTACGTAAATCAGCAAGTTACTGTCAATTGAACTTATGGAGCAAAGAAGTCTAAATATAAACTATTAAAAATAAACTTTTTTGCTCTAGAAATGCATCCCATTAGTTTAAGTTTAAAACAAAAAACCAAACTGCTAACATTGTAAACCATGTACCTAGTGTAGTAGTGAAATACCTATTAAGTCAGTAAAAAACAAATAAAATATTTAAATTAGAGTTTGACGCTTCCCTTTGTTCCTCGGATTTGATTTCCAATCCAACAGCATTTTTTTCCTATATAATTAAATTTATTATTATAATCAATTTAATTTCAATTTCTCTTTTCATTGTCTACTTCCAATAACAACATGAAAAACTTACAATCGAATCCATTGAACTTATGGTCGGTATAGTTTCAATATTTTCGGGGTTACCATTAAAATTTTGTTTCCATCTAAAATACACAGAACTGTGGATTTCTATTCTAAATATATTATTATGTTGGGCCAATATGTACTTTGGCGGCCCACGAGCTTATACTTGTTATACTTGATCGAAATGCAAAATTTTACCGCACTCTAGCTTTTTTTATAGACATAAGGATAGATTGACATACCCATTAAGTCAGTAAGTTAAAATCGTTGGCCATTAGCGTACAGTACCTTGACTGATTACAATTTTATACCAATGATACTTGAAAAGTCCGGACAAATCACCATTTTTATACAATTAAAACACCCATTGAAACCACAAAAATAAAAAACGAAATGTTATAAGCATATTCACCTTGCTTCACAAGCTTTCTTTATGGCTGCATCATTCTTTCGTTTTTTTTTGACATAATGGTAAGCAGGAATTTTACGCCCCATTGTAAAAGCTTATAACAAAAAAAAATGGTTGCCTGTAAAGTCGGTTTTACGGGCGAAGATTTTACGTGACAACGTCTTTTTCTCGGTAGAATATTTATTGATATGAATATAATTAAATTGCACAATAGGAACAAGGAATTGAATGAAAATAAGAATTGCACAAATTTTAACTATAGAAATATATTTTGTTTACTAAAAAAAAAATGGTTGCCTGTAAAGTCGGTTTTACGGGCGAAGATTTTACGTGACAACGTCTTTTTCTCGGTAGAATATTTATTGATATGAATATAATTAAATTGCACAATAGGAACAAGGAATTGAATGAAAATAAGAATTGCACAAATTTTAACTATAGAAATATATTTTGTTTACTAAAACATTGTACATGTAAACTTAAACTTAACACGAGAGACTCATCGTAACGTTACCGAGCGTTACACTTTTTCATAAGTGACTCCCAGCCGCAACCTAATTTAAGACGTTGTCACGTCAAAAATATTAGTTGAAACAACGATAATTAATAACTAGGTAGGTACTTATGATAATAAAATTTAATACGGTTGTGGATACTTACATACAGTCAACGATTAAACTTTTGCGGTCGTAGTATATCCAGCCAGTTTTACGATGAATGCACTCGTAGCATCGCTCGGAACGCGTGCGGTACAAAGCGACACAGGTCCGACCTCCAAAGGCGCTGGCGCCGTACTGAACGGCGTCTTGATTTGCACTACTATATATTGCATTTTACGGGTGATGTTCAGAGTCTTATAAAATAATAATTAATGAAATTATTATAAAATTATATACATATTTCAGTAGTTCAATGATTGTAGATTAGTTTTATGACAGTTTTTGATAGTAATTCTATTTAATTCAATATCAAAATACGAGGTAAACCTGCGTTATTTTTTGGGGAAACTCACGGAGGTTAGATGTTTTTTTAATAATTAATGAGATGGAAAATCAAGATTCTAATACATTATGTTGCAACAAAAACATATTTCTGGTGTCGTAGTAATTAATTTGATCTAATTTATTGAACATTATTGTGAGATTAAGGCGTTTTAAGTTGTGCATATTATCGTTTTTTCCGTAAACTAGCTGCGGTAGAACGATCAGTACAAAAAAATGGAAATAGTATTTGAAAATATTCTACATTAATTTTCAATAGGAAGAATAAATCTACTGTTTACTTCTATTGGAAGTAGTCAAAATCTCTTCTAAGGGGGCAAACGAGGCGCTCAGAAATTGCGATTTATTGCAAAAAATGTGAAAGGGCTCTTAAATCATCATTTCATTCTTATGGCGCGGCGGCCGTACCTCTTATTTTAACGACGGATGGAACGAACGATTTTTACTAAACTGAAACCTACATATGATTGCTCTTGCTGCTAATTTCACAACCGCCACAAATTTTGTATCGCGCTCTACCTTCATTGCAACTAGCATTCCGAAGGAAACAAATATGTTGTGATTTTTTTCTCTGATACTATTTTATAATTAATTCTCTGTCTTCTTAAAAGATTTAAAAGATATTTTAGTAATTTTAAATATTTATGCAGGTGAGATCATCATATTTACCTTGGGAGCGGGCATCGTCATCTTTGAAGTAAACCGACAAGCAGAAAAACTAGAAATCAAAGTAAGTAAAAAATGTTTGGAGTTTACTCCTTAAGAATCGATTTGCATATATAAGGTGCCCGGTATGAGAAAAATGTGAGGAGTAAAATCTATCGATGAATGACCTCGTTACGTTTTTGGTGCGCATCCTATGTCGCGCAACTTTGACAAACAAAGATGACGGATTGACATTAATAAAATTATTAAAATCTGAACTGAATTTAGATATTGTTTCTGATAGAGCAATGGGGACAACGAGGTATGGTACAACCATTGATGCGGTATTTTCAAGATTCGTGAACCACGTATCTACGAACGTCCATGTGTCTTATTTTAGTTACCATAAACCATTTGTCACTGTAATTAATAATGCAGACAATGTTAATTTAATTAATATTTAAAAAATGATAATAGTCTGATTATAATAATTACATAATTTATTAACATTCCTGATGATATATTTATGCACATCTGAAATTGACTATTGTAAAAAGTTTAATGTAAAATATTTCGTCGATTATTTATAATAAATGTATATGAAATGAATAAATATATATTTATATATGTATATTATTTTCATTAATGTGTTAATTTACCCTTTCATACAGTATCAATCTTTTTTAAGTTAAATAAACTCTTTTTGCGGCTGGTTAGACTATCGAACTTAAGGGTAAACTCCAGTCGTGCGTCGGAGCTGACACACACAATTTTTTTTTTATTCAGTCACAAGTTGCAAACCTGCCAATATTTTCAAAACGAAAAAGTAGTAGCTTTGCGAAATTTTTCAAAAAGCGACACATAAATTACTTAGCAGTTTGACGTGACAGCGTCGTATAAATCGATGAACGTCAGCTGCACGCACGAAAAAGTATGACGTCATGTCACATTGTCATGAGTTCTCCCTCCCCCTGACCAACCATACCCTCACCCCTTAACCCTCTTAAACTGCAGCCCTCCCTCCAAGGTTCAAACGAACCGGAACGGAAAAAAGAACAGAACCGGAAACCGGAAAATGGTATCATCCGTAAACCGACTTTTACAACAACAATTTTCTTTTACTTCGTTTCAAACGAGTGTTCTCGAGTTTGCTTTTTCCATTTTATTTATATGTTTTGGCAGATGTTGGAGGAGCGGTCTGAGTGGGTTGCGTTGCTGGTGGCTCTGCAAGAACTGAAACACGAGTTGGAGCTGCAGCAACAAGAAATGGACCGACTCCAGGACGAGCTCAGGCGTATCAGCCAACGACAACCCTCCTCTCCCCCCACTCCCCCTTCTGCCTCGCCTACTGAGCCCGCTGGAACCCTCACCGAAGTAACTCGCAAAAGTAGATGTTGATTTTAAATGATTAATTATACTGCCAAAAATATTATCTATACAATAAAGAACAATTTTTCCCTGATAAACGTATGGGTTTTTTTTTAAATAATAGCTGTTGAGATTGATATAACAATAATTTCAGAGCGAGATAAGAACGAGATGAGGATGGTATAAGAAAAGACGACCTCCGTGGTCGAGTGGTTCGTACCCCGGTTTCATGGTCCTGGGTTCGAATCCCGGTGGGGGCAGATGTTTGTGTGATGAATACGAGCATTTGTACTCCAGTCATGGATGTTTAATATGTATTTCTATATAAATATATATGTACAGTATATGTATTATACCCATTACCGTGTGTGTGTGAGTGTTGGAAATAGTTATTTATTTTTTTGAAGTTCAGAAGGTATAAGATAAGGATGAAATTGGGACGAGATGAGGACTCGTCCTCGTCTCGGTTAACTTATAGTCTTATAGATAATTGTTAAATGAGGATAAACGAGTTAAGCTAAGCACGTGTTATGATTTCATTATCTATTTATTTTATAAACACTTTGCAACTTCTATATAGTAATAAAAAGAAATAGAATTGAAATGTCGACTCAGATTTCTTTACTTTATAAGAAAAATATCTACCTTCGAAATTATAAATATTAAAAAAACACTATTTATTCAATTCAATCAAAAAGTCATTTATTCAGTTTAAGCTTTTACAATTACATTTGAAAGTCGAAAACTACGCCATCGGTTCGCAAAACTACGGCGGGAGACCTTGTACTGAGAAGAACCGGCAAGAAACTCAGCAAGGGCTGCTCTTTTCTCCCTGTTTTATTTCATACAGATTATTTAAACCAAAATATCAAAACAAAGTATAAAATCTTTACTCACAAATAATTAAACTTCTTTTATGAATGACAAAAGCATATTATTTTAATATAACTTACAATATTAAACAATAATATCATTCCAATAAAAGTTATAAACAACAATAGGAAAATGATTACTCAACTCACATGACCCTGGCTGTTTAGACTGCACACTAATATCTGAAGACTCGCTGATAAAGTAATGAAAATCTAATCAACAGACATCTGAATTTATACTTTAGACCAACCCTCCTCAAACAAGTTATTAGTGGCGCCATCTTTAACAATATAATTATTAAAGCCTATGGTAGTCTAATAATTTTATTTTATACTAACATAATCTCTTTAAAACATTCAAAGATAATTGTCATATTATCAATACAACAAAACATTGCTCCTTTCTTTAAAAGAAAACAAAAACATGGACTTATGATGGGCGGCCATGTTAGCAACCAATCACAGTTAGTATTCTATTTTGTAAAATATCTTCTTATCCAGACCAGAAATACATTATATATCCAATACAAACTTTCTTAAAAGTGATAAGGAATCCGTTATAGGTTTTTCATTATTTAATAAAGCTTTGATACACATCTATAAAATAAAAGTGTTTTGGTTAACACTCGATGGTGGAGTCTACTTAAGGTATTCACAAACGCCTGTGGATTTTATTAACAAGTTAATGGTGCAGTGGACAACAAGTCATCCACGGGTCCGGACAGCAGTCATCACGTCCCATAAGGTATTTATTACGTAGCTGTTTCTAATATCTTATTAAGTGATTATTTTTAATAATAAGAAAGAACCCTTAAAGCGTAATTCCTTGTCACACGCGATGAGAAAGAACTCAGGATTTGGTAGAAATAGAAACGGGATGAGAAGAGAATTCAGGGTGACCTGAGGATGAGGACGAGCTAAGAATGTAAAGAGTTGCGACTTAGGTTAGGTTAGGGGGTTTTTTTTTGTCTTAGGTTCTTAATTGGGGGTATTTAAGTGAATTTTTTTGTCATGTGTCGGTTATTATTAAAGTTGGCCTAAAATCCTACCTGAAGCCGCCTTTGATACAGCCAGAGGTAGAAACGTGAGCCGGGGGATAGAACGAAGAAAGATTTAAGAAGTAGAAACGAGAGAAGGCTTATCGAGTATAAAGAAAGAATAAGAAAAAGAAAGGTGTTTTTTTAATTATTGCATGGGATGTTGATAAGCAGGCGGGCCCCGGCCCGACCAGTTAATGAGAGGAGAAGGGTCCTCCCATCAACCGGCCGGGCCGGGGCCCACCCCATTATCGTAAATAAAAAAAATGTATATAAAAATATTGTAAAATAATCTATATACTTATAATAAATCTGTAGAGAGGTCAATTCTGTACATGAAATGTATTTTCAAAATAACTATCAGGGGGTGATTAGTGATCAATACTGATGCCAAAAATGCAATCAGTAAATTTTTTGTCTGTCTGTCTGTGTGTATGTTCCTTATAGAAACAAAAACTACTCGACGGATTTTGACTAAACTCGGTACAATTATTTTTCATACTCCTGGCCAGGTTATAGTATACTTTTCATCACGCTACAATCAATAGCAGCAGAGTAGTGAAGGGAAATGTTGGGAAAACGGGAGAAGTTAAAGCCTTAATGGTTAAAGTTACATAGAAATCATGTATGACGGAAATATTCTACATAAAATTGTCTAAAAAATATCCCGCAACAGCATATGTCTATCTTTTATGGTTGACTCACAATAACACGTGTAATTATATAAAAAATTTAAAAAATCAAAAAACCCGACTGCTTAATTATACTTCAAATAAAAACTGAAAAGAAAAAAACAAGTCCAGCAGTCTATAATTCTGTTAATAAGGAACAAAGCTACTTTAACAGTCGGGACCCATTAGATATTCAAGAATATTTTTTAACAGTGGGTCCCGACTGTTAAATTAGCTTTGTTCCTTATTAACATAATTATAGACTGCTGGACTTGTTTTTTTCTTTTCAGTTTTTATTTGAAGTATAATTAAGCAGTCGGGTTTTTTGATTTTTTAAATTTAGCTTTTTTATTTCACACTTTTTAGTTAGTTAGTATTTTAAGACGGTATATACCGTAGTCTTGTTACTTCAGTAAGGGAATTAATATCGCGGGAATTATTAAGTACGTCGGTCTATAAGATTGATTTATTAAGACATATAGAGACTTTACCAGCGGGGTCAAGGCTACAGATGGGCCTAAATTTTTGCAAAATTGTCTGAAGTTAAATCAAGTCGTTACATAAATATCTCTAATGTATGTAAATTTTATAGTAAACTAGCACTTACTCAAAAAGTCATCTTTTGTTTATGTTTTTTTTAACAGTTCAGCAGTAAATATAAAATTCATTTACTTTTATTCGTCGACTATTTAAAATTGGCAGTGGGTTCATTGTCATGTCAACGCCGGACGTCTAAGATTGTGATATACACAAATGCAGTGTCAGTCCCTAGTCTCATAATTTGATATACCTACATAATTCACAGAAACCCAGTAGATGCCAGAAGTTAACTTCAAATGTTTTTAATCACCCTATGTACAATACCAATCAATGACGTTTATGTCGCAGGTTGAAGAAAGCAGTAATTCCCGTTTGTTGTTTTGGACAATGGTGGCAACTGCCTTAGATCACTAAATTAAATAATTATGCAATCACCAAAGCAAAGTTTATAATATTTGATTAAACTAAAGGCGCATAATAAAATTTTCATAATGTTAGGTAGAGCACCATAGCAATCTCATTTATTATCAATTTATAGTTCTCTTTGTAGTTTTCTTTTAAAGCGTTCACATATAACAGGTCAAAGACTTTGTGATCGAACCTTTTTTATTGGTAGTGTAAAGCTTGAATGAAGAGTACTCCCAGTAGGGCAATCATAGCAATTATTTTCCAAAATTTTTTTTTGTTTAAAAAAATACCGAATAATGTATCACTGTTAAGCACAAATGCTAAGTAACTTTTACAAATATAATCAAATAAACATATTACTTACTTTATTTTTAAATCTTTTTCATCAATTAAATACTTATCATATCCTAACTATCTATACTAATATTATAAAGAGGCAAGATTTGTATGTTTGTAACAAATAATTTGTCAAACCACTGAACCGGTTTCAAATATTAATTCATCATAAGGTAGCTACATTATTTATTATTACATTTTTCTTATTTAAATACATTTTGTCCGAGTGACATAGGCTATATTTTATCCCGATAAATAAATTTCGCCATCGATGTGAAAGTGAGTTTGTTTGTTGCGCTTCCGTGCCCTAATAGCTAAATCGAATATAATGAATTCCCATATAGAAGTAGATGGGAACTTGGTTCTTAGCTACAACATCGCAATACTTTGGCGTAGGGTGATGAAAGGGGTGATTTACCTATAAAAATCTACATTATTTACTTTGAATTTTGTAGAATTATTACAAAACCATTATTATCGCGAGCTCATTAATAAATATAGGGATTCCAATAAGTATGTACTTACTAGCGAAAAATGGGTTATTTGTCATTATATTAAGTAAACCTTTTTTGTAACATTAAGTAATATCGTTAAAAAAATGAAAAACAGTAAAATTCAGAGTTTTTCATTAAAATTCAATAATCATAAATACCTATTATGATAATATATTTTTCATCATTTAATAAGAAGGAACTGTATCACAGTTTTATTGTTAGTGCTTCGTATAGGATCAGGTACTGCGAATAGCCCATTTTTTTTCTTTTACATAGTACACCGCGCTATCACTTTGTCATCGTTGTAACTTTTTAAATATTTGTCGAAATGACATAGTGTAAAAAGCAAAGTTTATCGTCTATAAATATCAAAAGCGATAAAAGTATTTGTTTTGATAAAAAATGATTTGTTAATACAAAATGTGCATTTTGGAAATAGATCTCAAATAATATTTTAGTTTTGATTCACTATTTTAGCGGTAATGACTTACACATTAAAAATAGATATATAGTGTCACGGACTTTTTTTTAAGAACTATTTAAGAGATACATTTTCACTCTACATTACATTCATGTAACTTTTATTGTTTTCGCAGTGCAGGCCAAAATGACTCGCAGATGGAGATTTTTTTCCGTCTTATGTGACACTTATTGTTATATATTGGCCAATTCACTCAACTCAACATAAATTATTATATATATGTAATTATCGTATATGAGCTATATTACTGTTAAGTTTC